ACATAATGTTATTATAATTATGAATTTTGCTAATATTGATATCAATGATAATGCTAATATTGACCATTTTTTACAATAAAATTGTCGAATATCAACAATAGATGTTGTCGATGTCGATGTTGTTGTTGATAATGATGTTGATGTTATCACTGGAATCGTTGTTAATTGACGTTGATCCAGTTCGCTATACGATGAATATTTTTCAAATGTTAATCGAAAAATTTCTGTTTATTTGTTTATTGGATGATGCTTTTGATTTAGGTGATTTTTTCTTTTTCCCTTTCGAAACTAAAAAATCAAATTTTTTTTAAATAACCAAAACAAAAACTCAAAAAAATCTTGTTTTTAAATTTTAAATTTTAATTAATTTTGTAGAAAATTTCTAAAATGAAATTATCCAAACAAAAAAAAACTCGAGTTCAACAAACAAATGTCAGATGTCATAATAATAGTATACACTAAGATTAATGGTTAGTTGGTTATGTCAATCAATTTTTTGAAGAAAAAAAAATGTCACAAAGAATGGCATCTTATGGCTACCAATTTTTTAAAAATAAAGTTTGGTCTGTGATGTGTGTGTGGGAAAATATGTTTACCTCCTTCTTCATTTTTCTTTAAAAATAAAATCATGTGTTTAAGAAAAGAAAGAAGAAAATAATAAGTAATAATTTTCGACAGTAGCAATCAGTCATCATAGGAATGCTTTGAAATGATGCTCGAATAACAACAGCAACCAGGATGCTAAGCACAAACACAATTACCTTTCCATTATGATGATGAATGTTATGCAACATGTTTTACGCCATGTTCGAATGGAAAACAATTGAATTTTATTGTTGTTGTTTTTCAGAAATTCGTCTCATCAACGGCAACAACAACAACAATTGTCTTTTTTCATGAAATAAAACAAAGAAAAAAATTCAATCAAATTTAAATTCAAATTTGATTGAATCGAATGAATTGAAAAAAAATTCAATTACAATTTTTCAATTTTCTTTCCAAAATCGAAACAAATCGATTCAGATCAATCAGATTGGAGACATTATCAATGGTTTATGGTCAAAAATCATCCATCACCATATACGATGATCATCATCATATAAATCATCAACGACCAACCAAAATGGCCAACAGAAAAATCATTCATTTTGTTCAGTTGTTTTTTTCGCACGATTTGAGGAATGCAAAAAAGTTTGGCTATCCAAAGATATGAATTCTTCATCATCTTTACTTCAAAAATTCAGATGATAATGGTCATCATCAATGGTTGTTGCTGCTCTGATTTTGAAAAAAAGATGTTTTCAAATGATTATTTTTTTTTGGCTACTGGTTTTCAAGAGAGTGTGTGAGAGCAAAGCTTACAACCTGAACCTGTATAAGCACTTGAACTAAGATGATGACGATGTTATTCTCCCACGGGTCCGTTTTTTTCTGTGTCCATTTTTGCTCTCTGTTTTCTCTCTTAATGATAATCATGTTGACGACAAAAAAAAAATTCCAATGTAAATGATGACCACCTGAATAAAAAAAAGTTTGTTTTTTTTTTAATTTTTTCCTCTTCGGCTGACACCAAATACTCAATGATAATCAAAAATATGATGATCGAAAGTGAAAATTGAGAATTCTGAAACTTTTAAATGTTTTTTTCAGAAAAATTTCAAAATTAAATTAATTGATTTTGGCCCAAATCATCATCAATAAATTCAAATTAAATCAGCGAAAAAAATGATCGAAACAAATTAAGACGAAAAAAATTTGCTAAATTATCTTAACGATTTTTTTTGGCGATAAATTGGAAATGGCTGTGAATTTATCGAACGTTAATGTTGATTAAAATTCATTGAACAAATTTAGATAACAATAATAATTTTGGTCAAAAAACATAAAGCAGAACGAGAACGATTTCTTCAAACTAAAAGCTTAATCATTTATGGATGGATGATGAAAATACAGAAATGATCTGATTATTACCTTGTTTGTATGATAATGATGATGATGGTGGTTAGCAAATTAAACAAGAAAATCAAATAAACTCATGTCATTAACATTAGTTTTTCAAATTTGTCAAATCAAGCCGAAAAAATTAGTCATTTTATGCATACGTAAATTAAAAAAAAACTCAAAAACCAGCCAAGTTGTCGATGATAAAAAAAATGATCATAAACTTTTGGTTGACCTCAATTTCTTCAACAAAAAAATGTTCAAGTTATCCATTCGGTAGTTTAGATCATCTGCAACAGGTGATCATGGTTGAAATTTTTGAGTTTTTTTTTGAAGGAAATCGGAACCACAAAAGTGAAAAAAAAACTTTCGAAAATTTTTCTGGGAAATTTTTCCGTTCAGCAAAAAAAGTTCAAGATCAATGTTTTTTTCACGTTGAGAAAATTTCTCACATTTTCCAATGACAATGAATGTCCGGATGAATTATTCGCACGTATATTTTCTTTTATTTATTACATGTGTAAATTGCTGGCCTTAGGCTATGACTTTGACTAACAGCTATGGTAATAGTCATAATTATAGTCATCAACCTAACCTCACTGAACTATGAATCATAGACATGGTCATCAACCTAACCTCACTGAACTATGAATCATAGCCATAGTCATCAACCTAACCTCACTGAACTATGAATCATAGTCATAGTCATCAACCTAACCTAAGTGATTTATACTATGACTATGATGGGGAATTAAAAAAAAAGAAGATTCTAAGCTTGTGAAAATCAACCAAAACAACAAAAAAAAATTAAAATAATCTGAATGAATTTTCCAGATATTATGATGATAATGATAATGAAAACGACGACGACAACAAACCAAAGAAAAAACATCGTGTGATTTTTTCCCAATTGATTCTCTCATCGACATTCACACACAAATGCATATGGCAAAAAGACCAAAGTGTGTGTGTGTGTGACCATCACCACATCTCATCTGGTTTGATTTCCTTTTTTCCAGAAAAAACAAAAAAAATTCTTCCCATAAGAATAATGATGATGATGAAAAAGTTAGTTAGTTAACCAGCATTGAATAAATAAAGAAAAATCAAAATCAGAAAAAAATCCAAAATAAAGAATGAAATGAAAATGGGAAAAACTCTCACCTTTCTTTACAAATATTCTCACACACCACACACACACAGCTTAAAGATATAAATTCTCAGCCCGTGAAAATTCAAAATTCAAAAAACAAAACAAAAAACCACGCACCATCACCACCACCAAGAGTAAATATTTCATCATCATCACGTCGACAATGATAATGTTTGATCATGATGATGATTCAAACGACCAAACGGTGAGAATTACATTCCATCATTCACCACCAACCAAACATTTCATTTTCGACCACTGAACGATTCGGATCATACATTTTGTTGTTGTTGTTGTTGCATCTTGTTGATTTTTTATTTCGTTGAAAAGTGTATTGTTCAATCGATGTTTTTCGATTTCTTTTTTAATCGATCAATCTTGTGCTTGAAATTTTGGTCTTGTTATAATCATCATCGAAAAAAATTGTTCAATTAATCGATCGCTTTTTTGCAGTAATAATAATCATAATTATCGATCGAACATAAGATGACATCATTATCGTTATTGTTATCATCATCATCATCATCATTTTTATCATTATTAAACATCAATGATTATCATTTGAATGATAAAATTTTCGAGGTAAATATTAAAAAAAAATTCCATCAAATAATGATCACTATCGAAACTTAATCGATATCGATAAAACAATCGATTGTTGCATTACATAAAACTATTCTTACACGGGGACGAATCCATTACATAAAAAATGATAACATTTAACATATGTCATTTAACGGTTGACATTTATAGCCGAAAAAATACTGGAAAATTTTATTTAAATTTTTTCAAAACATCTGTCTCGGTATGCCTAGCGATAATGTGTGTGTGATGTAATGAAATTTTAGGTCAATTTTACCTCACCTCATCACACAATTTTTGGTGAAAAACCATGATTTCAATTTTTTTTATTCAAATTTACAATTCAAATGATGATGATGCGATGACATTTGTAACAAAAATAGCTAGCAGCATTATCATCACAGCAGAAAAAGAAGCATCTCATTTTAGCAGTACAACGCGCGCAATTTTTTCGTTTGTTCTGCTCAATTTTTTCTTTGCTGCACTCATCACACACACATACCAACAATGTTTTTGTCTTGTCTTGCAAGCTTTCTCTCTGTTTATAAATGAACCAGATTGAACCGTTCATAAACAACGTATGCGAGTGAATTGTTTTGGTATTCATGTTGAATGTGAATGAAAAAAACGTTGAAAATGTTTTTGCACATCATCAATATTGATAAACAAAAAAAAAATAATAACAGAATTACCAAATGTAAATGTTATGTAAATATTTTCGTTTGTTTGTTTGTTGGTGTTTTCCAATTTAAATTTGAAAAAATTAAGTGTTAATGACAACAACAACATCTCGCGCCAATTATAATCGTCGAAAAAACATGACATGCGGATCATCGAAAAAAACAAAACAACTGTATAAATTTTCAATGCAAAAGAAGAATCTGAATTTAAACATGTTGTGACAGACCGATAGAATATTGTCAAAACAAACAAAAGAAGAGCTTCATGTCAACCAAACGAAATGACTAATTAAATTAATAAATAATGAAAATTATTGTTGGAAATTGATTACCTGAAAACAAAATGACCAAGAAAAACCATCACCACTACAAGATGAATGAATGAATCAAACATTCCAAATGAAAATATATTTTCTAATTTGGATAAATCTTGGAGCTTCATTTTGTCATACGAATCATTATTAGCCCTTTACACACTTGATATTTTTGTAAAAAATCAGATTGAAATATATATATTTTGTATCGAAAACATATATTTTTTACCATTTTTTGAAAAATTGACACAAACCAAACGAATTTACGAAAAAATCTTTGGCCTAAACTTTCACCCTGATGATAATCATCAAAATCAATACACTTATATAACTTTTGAAACCTCTTAAAATTCTTATCTTTATTTACCTCAATCGATTTTTGGAAAACCTTTTTTATACACAAAGCATAAATATTGTTTTGGATCAAGATTTACTGGAATTTTCCAAAAACCCATTTCCAACTACAAATGTCAAATGATAGCCACAACAAAATCATCACTGAGAAATCATTAAAAAGAGATACTAAACATCATGAAAGTTGTAAGTTTATATTTTCAAAAATCGTGTGAATGTTGATTTGAATTTTCCTCTTATTGATGATAACAAGACAAGACAAGTTTAATTAAGCACTTAGAATAAATTCAAAAAAATTCAATGTTTTTTATCGATTTCTTTCGCCATGTCGAGTCTATTAAAGAGAAAAACATTAATTAACGAAATTTAATTTAATTTTTACAATTTTTCACTTTAGCAAACGACAACGAATAAACAGTCATCAAATAGTGATAATGCTGGAGGATCATCATCATCATCATTGGATGGTCATCATCATCAACAACAACCATTATCACCATCATCAATGATGACAATGATGGCTGCTATGAATCATATGCCACCTCCATTATCATCATCATCATCGATGGCAACAACAGCAACAACGACAACACAATCATCACATTCCCGAAATGTTTTAGCACAAGCATTAGCTGCACATGCAGCCAGGCAATTATTTGAACAACAACAACAAGAATCTATAGCTAATGATGATAATCATAACAATGAATCTTCAATAGAATCCTCAACAAATTCCCAATTACAATTGATACAATTACAACAATCATTACAGATGCAATTATTACAACAAGCAGCCGTATATAATAAATTATTTGATCAACAACAGCAACAACAATCATCAATGATGAATGACGATGATTTAAGAAGAATTGAAGATAAAATGGATGTCGTGGTTGATCAACAACAACAGAATTCATCATCAACAACAACAAGTGCTATGTTAATTGCTGCAGCCGCAGCTGCTGCTGCGGCTTCTTCTAATCAACAATACTGCCGACAAAATCCAATGGATCTTTCATCACCTCCATTACCCTCATCTTTAACTTCGACGACAATCAATGGTCATCAATTATCACCAACAACAACACAGAAACAAAAATCAAGACAATCAGTCATTAAAAATGGTAGTAACCAACAACAGAATTTAAATCGAAAGTTAGTTAAACAAGAATCCAGTAGTCAGTCAATAAACTCTTTGTACACCCATTCATCATTGTCGCCATCATCAAAAACGTCTCATCGGATTTCCGGTAAGTGAAATTTTTTGAAAACAAAATTATTGTTCATTTCACACTAGGCAATATTGCATGATTCTCACGCTTTATGTTTGGTGGATTATCTTATGATCTAGATTTTAGTTTTAACAAAAGAGAATCTTATCCATAAGATGATCATCATTGTTCAAGGACAAATTGAATTTATTACCAAATCAATTTTCGAAAAAGAATATATATCGAATATCGATTTTGATGATTAAGTTCAGATATTTGATTTGTTTTTCTTTTATTCAATTCGTTCAATAACAATCCGAAAGAATGAAATGTTTTTGTTGAATAATAATAATTATTTTTCATTTTGTTTGTAACCAAGTTTACCACAAAATTATAAGACGGCTCTAATTATCTTTTTGATTGTATGATGTTAGTGTGTATGTTGTATATTGTGATTCTTTGTTTGTTTGTCAATCAATTTTGCTACAATTTGTGTGGTTGTTGTAATTAGTGTCGTTGGGTGTTTGGATCGATCCAAGAAATCGATAAAATGTTATTTCGATTCTCACCCATAAAGAATAACGTTGTGTTTTTCCATTTAAATGTTTTTTTGGGAAATTTTTTCAGTATTTGTTGATTTTTGGGATTTGTTTTGATTCAAACCGTGTGAACAAATCATATTCTCATTGGATACGGATATTCTAATTAAAAATGTCCGGAAATTGTCGCCGCTATCTTTTTCGGCTAATCTGATTTGTTGGGTTAGCCTATTTTCATCATAATCCCTTGATTTAAACTAATAAAATTGTTAAAAATTTCAAATTTTTAAAATCGATTTCGAAATATGTATTTTTTTTTGTTTGGTAACTGGCTGGCAACAGTGATACGGCCAAGGTTATTTTCGGGATATATAAAAAGCGTTTTTTGTTCGGGATAAAAATTACTAAATTCAAATTTTTGTAACCATCATCATCGCCAAAAAAAAATATTGCAATTGACAATTCAAATTCAAATTCAATTTCGGTATATTTTCCGGGTTTTTGTTGTTGTTCACCCAAAGAATTTCATTCAAATTTTGTCTATCATCATCGTTGTTGTCAAAAAAAGGTATGTTGATGTTTATTTGTGACATTCATTGAACACATCCCATAAAACAAAACAAAACAAAATCATTTTTAAAATTTAAAAACCCAAAAAACGACGACAATTGAATGCAAAGCGACCGCCTTTTTCTGTTATACACACACACACTTTGATTCATTTAGATATAAAACATTGTTTTTTTATTTAATAAAATCTAACAAAAGGCGGCCAAATTTTAGTTTGTTTGTAAATTTATATTGTGTAAGTAGTTTTGTTGTTTGGTAGGTGGGCTGTTAGTTTCTCTCTCTCCTGCTATCTCTATTTCTCTTTTGATTTTTTGAAAATATTTTTTTCACATTCAACAATCATCATTCACAATAATATTCACATCACACACATAACATCATCACCCACACACACACTTACCTTATCTAATGTCTATGCGTGTGATATCTATTTGTATTTTGTTGTAATTTTATGTTAGTTAATCAGTATTTCAAACATCATTTACACATCGCACTCATTCAGAAATTTTGATTGTCGATTTTAATTTTTGTTTTGTTTTACGACAAATCTTTTCTTTCTTTCCAATTTTTTACATGATTCAATTTTTTTGAAATGAATATTCTTCTTTTTCTATCTCTCTCTTGCTTTCGAAATAAAATGCCTCATGAAGAGATGTTTTGAGAAGAAATGTTGAGAGAAAAAACCGACCAGTAATTTTTTTTCTCTTTCGCTTTATCTCAGTTTACAATTTTTACCATATATTTTCAGTACATATCGTGTGATGATGCTTGACGGTCGTCGTCGTCGTAGATAATTTATTGGTTGATAACATTGTGGAAAAAATTTATGGGAATTTTTGCCGGTTGTTATTGTTTATTCTAGTTTTTTGTTCTTCGAAATCTTTAAAAATTATTTATTAAAATCAAATTGAAAAAAATCAAATGCCTGAACACAGTATGTATGAATCGGCAGCAACAGCACCATACCACCATCATCATCATCATGGTGGTACATTTCCATTATATCATCATCATAATAATCATCATTTAAATCCATTACAATTAACAACAACAACCGATTCTGTTGATTTACAGCACCAACAACATTCTACACAATCTCATAATCATCATCAAGCACCAAATACACCACCATCATCATCATCACATTCACCAACAACAACAATAACACCAACAACTCCTGGATCTACCGGTTCATTAATTGTAACTGGTGTAAATGCATTGTTAGAGATGACGCCACCTTCGCCTACAAATAGTGGAAGCCATTCGGCTGATCCATCACCCCAACAACAACAATTGATGCATCAATCATCATATCATTCATCATATTCATCATCAAAAACATCGACCACAACATCCGATCAAGATTCATCATCTTCATCATCAGCTACTATCAGTGAACAAAATTCCAATCAAACACCATTGACACCATTATCATCATCATCATCATTATTTATTGGTTCACCATATACGCCATCTTTTGGTAATGGAACTACAAATGGAGTAATATCCGGAAATGTTCCATCATCACCAACAACAACAACAACACCGTTAATACCAGCACATTATCATTCATCGCAACCACAAAGTCATTTGCATAGAGCATTTTATCCCGCATCAGTAGTTGCTGGTGGTACAAATAATCATTATTATCATCATCATAATTCAACAGGTCCACAAACAAACAATAATCATCATAATCATAGTATTATGGATCCATTTTCAAGTGTTAATGATCATCAAACACCACCATCATCATCATCATCGTCATATCATTCACAATATCATCCACATCATCATAATAATCATCATAATCATCACATGGTGGTTCATCCATATCATCGACATCATACATCACCATCATCATATAATCATCATCATCAACATCATAATTCAATCTATAGTGGATCATCACATCAGCAATATTTAAATCATTCACAACATAATCATCATATCCAACAACAACATAATTCTTCAATTAGTTCATCACCTGGTAGTCAAACAACAACAACAAATGATTATGGTAGGGAAAATGATGATTAAAATTAGAAAACTTATCACACAACAAGCAATACACCCTTTGATACATGCAAATATCACTTGAAATTTGATGATTTGATGATTGGAGAATTGATTGATTCAGCCAACATGATGTTGTTTAATCAATCAACCAGAAGGATTGATTGATTAAGTTTACGGTTTTCTCGATTTTTATCTCGTTTGTTTGGTTGGTTCGTTTTTTGTGCATCACTTACAAATTGGTTTATCTTGATTTTCGTTGCCGTGTTTGTTAACCATAAACAACGACGACGATGATGACAATCCATTTATCATTCCGTTTTATTTTTCGGGGTTGTTTTTTTTCTTTGGTTGAAGATCAGAAAAAATATAAATCTTTTCTGTTGATGATAGTCGGAAATTTCACATTTTTTCAAATTTATGTTCATGTTGTGTTATGTTGACAATTTTTTCGGGGAGGTTTACTCATTAATTTCATGGTCGTTTATAAATATTTTAAATGTATCCAATTTTTTTAATTTGAATCGACAGTTTTATCATCCATCGACATTCAACAACAACACAAAGTTGTTGACACAATCTTGTCACATTTTACTCTTATCATAATGATTATTATCAAGAAGAAAAGAGAAGCCGATTTTATTTTGAAACAAACAAACTAAAGAATCGCTGTGTGAAAAAGTCTATTTGACAAACATGATGATAATAATCAATTAATCAATAATGTTTATTTGAAATTAATCAATAATCTTAGTTTGTTTAATCTTGACCTAAATAATTGATTTTTTTCCTCCAAAAAAAACAAAATCCAAATAAATTTTTTTTATCATTTAATCATCATCACAATCATTGACCATGTTGTGTTAAAATAGCTTGAAAAACTTGACTTTAATCAAATAAGAAGATAAGTTAGTTGTTGAAATGAAAAGATTTATTATGTAGAGACACAGGATAGAATTAGTGTGATAGATGTGTGTGGTTGGCTGGTTTTTTAATTGAATTTCTTCATTTTCAAATAAATTTTATTTGTTTTTGTTTTTTTAGCTAATAAATTAATTAGACGAAAAACAAACTTCCCACAAAAATTTTTGAAATGATTTTGAATTTTTGTTTGTTTTCTACCGCCCACTTGTTTTGTTAGTGAGAAAGAGAGAGAATCGATTGTATCGATCCAAAAATGTCTGCAAAATTTGATTAATTTTTTGAAATCTCGTTTTTCGTTTTCTTTGAAAACGATGAATCATTATGTTGATACGATTATCGTTTGTCATTTCAATAATTTTCAATAATGATTATATCTTTTTTTTTCTTCTGAAAAACAAACTTGAAACGAAAATGCAAAAAAGACACATGTTCTCTATAACTATATTAATTGATAAAATGATAGGATTTCAATTTAATTTCGAATCAAATCATTTATGGAATGATAATGATGATTATTTAATTAATCAAATATCAATGAAACAAAAGTAAAACAAATTTTTTAATGATAAAAGTTTATTGAATGATAAAAATCTAATTCAAATTGATTTTGTTTTCATAGCAAATGGATTTAATTTTCGATTTGTTTGTCAAAAAAAGCAAAAGTTTATTTAAAATTTTTGAAATTTCCAATTCCATCGGATTATCATGATTTTTTTTCTGTAATTTTCTGTAGTAGTTAAAGTCAAATAAACATTTGTCAAGCAACGAAAAAAAAGAAAAACCCTCGAAACAAATCCATTCGTAAATTGAATTTCATTCAGATGTTTTTTTGTTGATGAAATTAAATCTGCTTTTCAAATGATGAAAATTTTCGTTGGTTCATTTTTTTAATTGAAATGAAAATTGAGACGAGGAATTGAAAATTCTGAACATTTGGCAAACAACAACAACTGTGTAACTGTGTTTACCAAATGGATTAGGTTTGCGTACGCGGATGATTTTCAAGTGTACGTTCAAAAATTTTCAACATTGTTTTTGGTTTTTGTTATTGAAAATTTTCTTCCTAAATATACAGGATTGATGTTGATGACGATGATGCGGAGGATGATATAGCCTCTCGATGAATTGAATAAGTAAAATGAAAATATTTTGCACCTGACGCGTATTGTGTTTAATTCAAGTGTATTTAAATGTTTGAAATATTCCTTGATGATGATGATGGTTCTGTTTTTGCATTCTGGATCGACTTTTTTTCGGAAGGTTTTTGCCTGAAAAATTTCTTGCAAACTTATCACTGAATTTTGACAGCCGGAAATTTTTCTTCAATCCTTTCAAACACATCATTTTGACTATTTGATTGGCTAAAAAGTTTTCTCTGTGTAATTAGCCATTTCCGTTTTTTTTTGTATTTCATCAAAAATCAATCAAGTAATAAGAACCAAACGTGTTGAAAACAAAAATCTCTAATAGATTTGTAATTGATGGCTTTGCGACTATAGTACACGTGTCAGATGTTTTGCACGTGTCAAATGTATGTTGTACGTAGTACCTAATGGTGACCTATGATTGTTTGTTGTTGTTTTAACTATATGCTACACACACTTTTCCTATTATGTTTATTTTGCAACATTAGCCCCTTATTATTATTGAACTCAATTACACCTCAACTCAACTAAACCCTGCTTATATAGCTTAAAGGCAAAATAGATTTTGAATTGAATTGAACAAAAAAAAAACCTATTGAAAATTCATTCAGAAAAAATATACTTTGTTATTGTTTCGGTTGTTGATTGTTTCGATTCGGTTCGGTTCGTGGTCCACTATATTATCATACATCTCCGTATGGTTTTTGGTTTCGGTTGTTGTTGTTGTTTTGGGTTAAATCGATCTTTCAATCACCGTCAATTTCTTTTGGTATATTTTGATAATTTTTTTCATCATCATCGGTTCAACAGTGAATGAAAGAAAGAAATCTGCATCTGTTCCCCACCACCATCACAACCAAATCATATTGTTTTCTAATCACATAGAGAACAATAGATTTTCGTTTTTTCTGTTGTGGTCCGAATCTAATTACTTTTTGATATTTCGATTGTGTGTGTGGCAAGTGTTGCTGACCAAAAAACATTCGTTTCATCCAGATTCCTGATAATAATGATGTTAATGACATTGTTGTTGTCTTCATCATCATAATGATCAAACAAATGTCATTTCTTTTTATATTAATTTGTTGTTGTCGAGGTGTGTTACATTTAGATATATAGTGAAAAGAAAATCACCATGGTTATTATTAATTTGTTCATTTCATTTCATTTTTCATTAAAATTCAATTTTTTCAATCGATTGATTGATTGATCGATAATTTCTGTTGATGATGACAATTCCGTTTTACATGAAAACAAGAAACAAAAATTGTCCTCAATAAAAATTTGCATGTGATCATTATCATCATACATTTGGTGTAGCACTGAAAAAATTGATTTAATTGATCGATAAATAATCGACAAAAATCTTAATCAATCGATCGATCGATTGATTGATTTGTACCTCGATTTGTACAACAAAATTAACAGCCAAATGATAACAATATCAATTAGTTTTTTTTGATCAGACCATTATCGATTTTGTTTTTCTACTTGAAAATTGTGTTGTACAAGATTGGATTGATCTTAAGCGTAAATTATTGATTTGATTGATTTTTTTCATATACAAAAATTTTGTTTCTTTTTGGGTTTACAACAATCAATTTTTTTCTACTTTAAAAAGACAAGGTAATTTGTCGACAACAGTAAAAAACACATTAAGTAGCAAAAACAAAACAAAACAATGTTTAACAAGACAATAATGTTATCACAAAAATAAAATTCTAAGAAACCAGATAAAATTATTGATTGCCCAACCTGAAGATAATATTATTAAATGTCATATCATCATCATCTTAGGTAGGATACACAGGAAAAATGGATTTTTAGTTTGAAAAAAATCAATTTTTGAATGAAATAGTAATGTCCATTAGTGAATGACCACTATAGTTTGATGGGCGTATTTTTTTAACCATATGTTTTTCAATGGTTGTTTTTATTCAATCAAATGTCCAAAATTGTTTTTCATTTCAGAAATGTTTGTTTGGCACAATGATGATGATAAGTTTGACAAATAATTGTCTCAAATTTTGTTTTTATCGATTGACAGAAACTTTATTTTTGGTTTAAAATTTTGAAAAAAACGAAATTTCCAATGACAATGAATGTGATTTTCTCGATGAACAATTGCGTGTGTATGTATTCAGGTGTTTTTGTCAGTTTTTTTGTCTGTCTCTTTGATTTTGCTTTCAAATTTCAATTGTTTACCCCAGAATATCATTTTGATATTATTATTATCATTATCATCATCTGGAATGGTGATTAGAGCCAGATAAAAAAAATTGAATATTATACCCTGCTATATGCGTGAATGAATTTCCTATGCTAAAGTGAAATTGTCCTCTAATACGATTGATCCGACGACTATGATGATGATGATGGGTGATATATAGTTTTTCAATTGCTTGTTGTGTGTTTTATAGTTGAATGGAAAAAGTGAATGATGATGATGAACAGAATGTATTTTGGATGTATTTTTCTGTTTTTTGAAATTGAAAATTGGGCGTGCTCTATATAGATATTGTTTGAATTTTTCGAATCAAATGTGTGTGTGTGTTTGATGCGTATACCAATGATGATAAGGATTGGTTCATGTTTGTTTCGGGCAATGATGATGTGTGGGCCAGGCGTGAGATTTCAGACACCTGTTTTTATTTCTTTTTTTTCAAACAAACATTTTTGTATATCCAAATATTGAATTCACTAATTCTGGAAACCGACCAGGGTGGTGGTTATCTTGTCATGGAGTTTTTTTTTGAAAATGGTGGTAGCAATAGTTATACAAAAGAAACACTCATCGGAATAGAATATATACGTGTAAAGAAAATGGATCACAAAAAAACGAAAAGGTTTTGAAATTCCATAATTAAGTATGGTAAATGATAATTAGTTTTCTCACTTCTCTTACCTGGTGATGTTGATGATAAGGACGTTTTATTGCCACTTATTTATCAGAAATGTCAAATTTGTTTGTTGTTGATATTTTTATTTTGGGAATTTTGTTCCCACCATCTTTTCACATTTGACATTAGACATTTCATTCTTGATATAATTGTTGTTTCATTGCTGAGTCGAATCTTATTCTCTCTCTAGTTGTGTGTTTTTTCCCTATTAAAGGGGGTTGTGTGATATACCCAATGAAAGGAAGGTATCTTTATTTCTATTTTCTTGTATTGATTATTGTTTTGTTTCTATATACGGAATTTTTCTTCTTTTGATCGGTCATCCGCCAATCACGAACAAAAAAAGATAACTAAACACGGTACGTGTTGAGAGATAGAAATTCTCTCATAGAATCGTATGTTGGTTCATTTGTTCGGTTGATTTTCTTTTATCTAAACAACAATTTCTTCAAACGACAAACATTTGATTTAGTCGTAAATCTTTGGGTCCATTTCGTTATTGTATATTGAACATATTGAAAGGCCTTTTGTTTTTTGATTCTTATTTTGTCGATGATGGCTTCTTCAATTGAACAATCCAGTAATATTAATTCATCAATGGATGTGGATGATGATTCTTCCAATTCATTGCTTGATCCTTCATCAGCATTGATTCTTGATAATCATCACCAACATCACCATCATCGATGTTTGTCAAATACATCATCAATATTTTTTGATTATCTATTTCAATCGACTGAATGTAGACATTTATCACCAAACAAACAACAATTACTTCGACATTATTTTAATTGTTTTGCTTCTACAGCAGCTCGTTCATCATATTATTATGGTTTAGATTCATTTGCATATTGTTAGCATATTTTTGTTTCTTTTTTTTCAAAAAAATTCATTTCAAAATCTAATTTTTAATTTTACTTTGACCCCTTTTAATTCACTTTGCTTTTTTTCACATTCAGATTCCAAATCATCGCGTGATTCGCCTCATAGTTATTATTCCCAAATTGGTGCAAATAATCAAAATTCATCGTATCAACAACAACAAACATCAGCAAGTAATAATAATGCAATGATGTCACCAATACCATCAACACCATCACCACCAAATGATTCTGGAAATATTTCCATGGATTATATGGGACGTTCTATTGATCATCATCAGCATGGTGGTGGTGGTGGTAATCCATCACATCAAACATCACCGCATCTTCGTTCATCATCATCAACAATGATGATAAATCCACGATCGGCTGGTGGTTCATCAACATGTTCATCAAATGCATCGGATATTAATAATTCATCAACAGCAACAACAACGGCACCATTAATGTTGACACCGGTTACCGGTAATCATTCATTAACACGTGAAGCAATGCGTCGTTATATACGTGAAAAGAATGATTTAAAAATAATAATATTACATGCAAAAGTTGCACAAAAATCTTATGGTAATGAAAAACGATTTTTTTGTCCACCACCTTGTATATATTTGGAAGGTGATGGTTGGCGTAAACGACAAGAACAAATGTTACGTGAAGGTCGTACTGAACAAGATTCAAGTCTTTGTGCTTATATTGGTATTGGTAATTCGGATCAAGATATGCAACCATTAGATTTTAATGGAAAGGTATGCTTGTTATATTTGGTTTGTTTGATTTCATTTTTCATTCTTTATCCATATAGAGCTTTTGTGCGGCAAAAACTTTATACATATCTGATTCGGATAAACGTAAACATTTTATGTTATCAGTAAAAATGTTTTATGGCAATGGTGAAGATATTGGTTTGTTTCATTCTCGTCGTATTAAAGTGATCTCGAAACCATCGAAAAAGAAACAGTCATTGAAAAATTCCGATCGTATGTTTGATTGACAATCATTATTGATTTTGATTTTAATTTCAATTTTTTTCCTAATTAGTCTGTATTGCAAGTGGTACTAAAGTAGCATTATTCAATCGTTTACGTTCACAAACAGTTAGTACAAGATATTTACATGTAGAAAATGGCCATTTTCATGCTAGTTCAACACAATGGGGTTATTTTACTATTCATCTCGGTAAGTATTTGAATGATATTTTATTGAATATTTACAATATTTCTTGGATATATCCAGTTGATGATAAAGAAGAAGAATCGGAAGAATTTACTGTACGTGATGGTTATATTCATTATGGTGCTACTGTCAAATTAGTCTGTTCAGTAACCGGTATGGCATTACCTCGTTTGGTATGTAAATTTTTCATTTTTTGTTTTATTTAACATTTTTTGAATTTGAAAAAACTCCTCCTTTTTGGGTTCAATTTTTTCGAACAAATTCATCTCATTGGATTATCTTTTTTTTGAAAACAAAAACGAATGATATGATCCAATGATAATGATGATGATGAGACAAAAATAAAAAATTTAGCCCTATATTAAATAAGAATGATGATGATAATTTCAAGTAGCCCATCATCGTTGATAATAATGATGATGATGATTAAAGAGAGCAATTTTTTTCAAGTATGCAATATCCAGATGAAGCATCACAATAATAATAATTATTATTATTATGGCGATGATGATAATGTTGTATCAAATTATGACGATGATCATCATCATTAAAAGTGAACTCTGTGTACATACACACACACACAGAGTCAAGAGAGTGAGTTTTGAGGGCGCAATCAAACTATGAATGAAATATTTAATGAATAAAATCATATATAGTGATGATGATGATGTATGTCTTTTTCTTTGTCTATGTTTTTTTTAATATAGGGTTTTAGGGTTGGAATCTCTTTTTTTTGTGTATAGTGGCAATTTTGTTTGCTGACTGACAATCCTAATCATTTTATTTGAAAAAAAAAGAAAGAAAATTGACTGACAGCCAACTTGGCCAGCAACAAAAAATAAAAAAGACCGGGAGCGACCTTTTTTTCTGTTGCTGTTGCCAGGTTGTTGAATGTTTTTTTTTGTGGATGAAAGATTGGCTCCTGATTTTTGTCGAAGAATTGAAAGATTTTTTTTTTGGTTATTTTTTTCGATGATGATGATGTTTAATATCATGGCCATACCTAATTGCTATTTGGAATTTTCTTCTTCTGAATGAAATTCCGTTCTTTTGATTTCTTTTATATTCATTGAAAATGTAGCAGGAGAAAAAAATTTTGATTTAAACAATTTGAAAGACAATCTTTGCCTGATTATTACTATGTAGTAAGATAAAGAAAAGACTAAGAAATTCATCTAATAGTTGATGATGATGATGATATGGGAATTTTTGGCGACATTTTCACACACACAACAACACAATTCGATTTCTATTATTTTGTTTTTTCTCATGACCAAAATATATGACCAATGGCTTCTGTGTTTTTTATTATTTTGTTTCGAATGAGATACAATGAACGGAATCATTATAAATTTAAAGAAAAACATTGAGATCAACAACAGCACGAAAGGTTACCATCATAATCATCATTATCATGCCATTATGATTACTATTGTCCTGATGATGATGATAATAGCCGGTTATAATTGTCGAGTGTCAATAACATTTTGTTGTTGATCATGTTGTTTAGTTGGAAACAAGATTTGTTCATTAATTTCATTTTAAATGTATTTGATTGTTATTGTTCAAATTCATCATGATGATGATTATTTTGATTATGATCTGATTTTAAATGATTTGTTTTTTCTCATTTCTTTCCATATAGATAATACGAAAAGTTGACAAACAAACAGCAATGCTTGATGCTGATGATCCAGTATCACAATTACATAAATGTGCATTCTATCTAAAAGATACTGAACGAATGTATCTATGCCTTTCACAAGAACGTATTATACAATTTCAAGCAACACCATGTCCAAAAGATCCCAATAAAGAAATGATAAATGATGGTGCATCATGGACAATCATATCTACGGATAAAGCTGAATATACATTTTATGAAGGAATGGGTACAGTACATCGTCCAGTTACACCTGTACCAATTGTACATAATCTTAATGTTAATGGTGGTGGGGATGTTGCTATGCTTGAATTGAGTGGTGAAAATCTAAGTCCATCGTTAAAAGTTTGGTTTGGTGATGTTGAAGCTGAAACTATGTATCGGTAAGTTTATTTGATGATTTTTAATGATTTTTATTATTTTAATTTTGCAATTATTTAGTTGTGCGGAAAGTATGCTATGCGTAGTACCAGATATTTCACAATTTCGTGAAGGATGGCAATATGTTCGACAGCCAACACAAGTACAAGTATCATTAGTACGTGATGATGGTGTTATCTATGCAACCGGATTAACATTTACCTATACACCAGAACCTGGTCCAAGGCCACATAATCCAGCTATTGATAGAATTTTAAGGCCAAATGCACATCCACCACCACAATGGCCGGTCATATGATGATAATTTTTGCTAAAATTTTTTTCAAGTCCAAAACTTTCAAAGAATTTTTCAAAAACTTTGATACAAATTGTAATTAAAGAAATCAAGATGGGGAATTTCATTAGAATCTGAGACAAAAAAAACAACAACTACAAAATCACATTTGGATTGTGACAAGCTGCAATATTATTATTTTTTTTTATTACAGACAAAAATATCATATAACAATCATTAAATTAACTAAACCCACACACACACATTATTTATAACAAATGGAACAAATGGATAAAGGATTATTATTATTTTTTAGAATAAAAACTTTATCTCAAAATATGATTCCTATAATATAATTGTTTTTTTCCAAATGATAATGCTGCACCCACACACACACACACGAATCTTTTTCATTTGTTTGTAACATATATTCTTATTATGATGGTTTTTTTTATTTGAGAAGAAAACACTATTTATATATTATTTAGATGTGTCACATGCCATTTTGATCTATTTAATTTTTTTAAATAATGAAAACACCATACAATTTTACACTGAAATCCAGAGAAATAAAAAGACATACACCAACATGGAAAATAAAATAAATTTCCTTATTTTCTTATAGACATTTTTTTGTATTGAAATCAATCAATCAATCACACACCGACAATCAATTATTATATTTGGAATGTGGTTGGGGAGAAAAATTATGTAAATTATTATTTTTTTATACTACTTAAATACAAAATTACTATTGTTTGATTGATTTTCTTATGATTCTATATTTTGTAGATATTAATTTCTTTATTATATTTCATTGCTGAATACAATTTGTTTAAATTAATTAATTACTTCTACTTTTTTTCTGTTTTCGATTCTTGGGTTGGGTATTTTCACTCACTCACTCAATCAATAAAATGAAGTGAAATCAAATAAATGTTTTATTAATATCACTATAATTGATGTTTAAATGAATAATCTAATGGAAAATGTATGATAGTTTTAACCCTTTGCGCTAGGCGGCTTTTTTTGGTAATTTTCAAATTCATAGTTTAAATCCAGAACAAGAGATGGCGATAAAGTTGCGATTCTCAAAAATTCATAAACTGGATAGATTTTCTTGACTTGATGAAAAAAACAACAACAAAAATTTTAATTAATGATCAATGATTTCAGATGTGAAAGAAAAGAAAAATGAATGATATAAATAATATTTTTCCCCTTATTTTTTTTCTCCTTTCAAAAGTACATATCTGATACGAAAAAAGGTTGTTGATCATCAATCCTATTTGAAATATTTTGAAAAATGACATACATTTATTTTTCTTTGGTCTATAAAAGGATCTTTTCATATTTTTTCTGTTTGTTTGTTTGATAATGTAGTAATCAGCAAATCATTCATGGAATAATGATAATCACAAAAATGAAAGAAAGAAGGAAAAAATTCGTGAAGTCTGATTTGATTTGTACATTTCATGATGATGATCATAACCAGTTATGATTCTATTCATAAAGACATTAATTTTTTCGGTCAATTTTTGTTTTTTCTCTATTCATTTTCATTTTAATTGATGAATTTTTCATAGCATTTTGTTTTATCATTATATCCTAACTAAACAAAATGAATTTTCTAAAAAGAAATCAAAAGATGGGCAAAAATATCATCATCATCATTAATAGCTATTAAGATGATAGGATCGATAATGGTGATAACTGATTCGAATTTGATCATAATCCATGTTGACGCCTAAATATTTCATCTTTTTCGATTTTTGTTTGTTTGTTTGATAAATTACCGGATCATGGAAGAAAAAGTTGAAAAAACTTACTCGTTTTTTGTCTTGGAAATAATTCAATCAAACAACAACAACAAAAAACCGATTTATATAAGTTTTCTTTTTGTTTGCAATTCATCGGATGTTCAATTTTTCATCCACAGACATATCGTTTGGTTGGTTGACTATCAATGATGATTATGATGATGAACATCATTGAAGATAAAAATCATTACTATTATATACAAACACACGATCAAATACAGATTGAAATGATTATTATTATCATTATTATTATAATCCATTTATGTACGAATATGAATGTAATCATCAAACAAACAGTCCATATATAAAAAAGTTAATTAAAACTTATGTTTTGATTAAATATTTTTATTTTCATCCCTTTCTTTTCATTTTTTCCGCTGATGCTTAACTTTGAATTAGATAAACGGGGTGGAGACGAAATAAAAATGAAACACAAAAAAAAACGAAAATTACATGACGATGTTGATTGGCTGTGGCATAGGCAAAGAAAAAAAGTCAATTTCACGACAATATTCAGTAAACAAGAAAAAAAGAAGGAAAAAAATCGATTACCAATCGAAACATCGAAGTCAAGTCAATCATTGCCATTGGCAAAACAACAGAAAATTGAAACAAAATAAGATCATTTCCTTTTTCATTTCTCAACAAAATTTCTTTCGAAAAAAAAACGTTATCAACTTTATTTTCCAAAATCCAAAAAACAAGAAGAAAATTTTGAAACAAATCGAATGAAAACGATCAATAAAAAAATGAAGATGATTATGATGATGTTATAACATTTAAACTTACACATTTAGATATATCGGACAATCCTAAAGCATTATAATGATGATGATCGTCATGATCATTATCATCAAACATCAGATATCTTTACATTTTAACAATCAATAAATTTTTCTCTATCCATTCATTCATACAATTTTTTTCATAGTGATATAATGATTGATTAGGTTCAATAAATCAAAATGACTTCTCACACACACAGACAATATATAAATCGAACAACACAATGAAGATCATCATCATCATTATCATTATCATTATCTAGATAATAATTTTCAATGTTCAAAATAACAAAAAATCATCATCAAATCAGTTCAACACTTGTTGTTATCGTAGTTATCGTTGCTGTTGTTATCACCAATCTGATCATCATCATCAACACCAATTTTTTTTTATCTAAAACATTATGAATTCATACTCAAAACCATTTTCCTTATCTAAAGATGAACCCAATCGAAAGAAAAACAAACATCGTAAATCGTAAATCGTTTGGGAGTTTATTACAGTTCCAACAAAATGAGGAAAAAAAATGTTTAAAAAGCCAACGAAAAACAAAAAATAAAAAATTCATACATTTTTTCGTGGATAAATAAATAAATTTTATCTGTTCACCTGAATGAATGAATGATTATCGTCAGTATTTTCACTTGTTTTTTGTTCACAAATATTTTCATTTTTTTCGTGTTCATAAATTACATGTATTTTTCTTGTTTTATCATCGTCGTAAACATATATTAGACAGACTGACTGACCGACCGACCAACAAAAACGGATGTTAATTTCGGATTATCATCATCGAAGATTAAAGATGAGAAAAATATGAATATTTTACCGTTTTTTTTCGGCATATATAGGCGAACGAAAATATTTCAAAGCATCACCTGAATGAATAATGTTTGTTTTTTTGAAATAAACAATGAAAAAAAAGAACAGCAAAAATACTGACCATTCATTCATCAAAATTGATGAGAATAATTGTTTTTTGTTTGTCCATTTTTGCCTTCGCCAGATAAATAAATAAACTAATCATCCAATCGAGAGTTTTACAAAGATAGAAAGTTGTTCTTGAGAATAACTTATTTATTGATCATCAGCATCAAAATTTGAAAAAACAACAGTCAAAAACTTTTTTTGTTGCTGTTTTGGCGGTGTGGTTTTTTTCGGATTTATCAAAATCATCATCATCCAATTCGCCGTTACGATTTTGCTGAAAAAAAAACATTAAAGTTTTAAAAAATTTATGAATGATCAATTGAAAACATGCATCCAGTGTGTGGTTAGTTATGATGATCTAAAAATAAAAAATAACAAGAAAAAAGCAGCTAAAATTTACCATGAATATAAAGAAAAAAAGGGTTCGACAACTAAAAACATAAACTGATTTTTTTTCGTTTTTTTGACCGAAAAAAAATGAAATGAATAAAGTTTATTGTGTGCTGTATTGGTGGTAGTGTCCGAATGTTGATGATGATATTTACGATGTTGAATGGTAAATTGCACAGTGCATCTCTCACTCACTCTATTTCTAAATTATATAACCAACTTTTGAAAACAATTCGATTCAATTTAGATTTAGATTTCATTGACTTTCAATGCTCGCTCATAATAAATTGCAACAAAACAAAATGAAATAGAAATAGAATGCAATTATCAAACGATTAAAAAATGGACTTTTGATTACACACACACAGAAAGAGAGATGCCAGGTAAAATTTATATGTTTTGAGCAGATGTTTTTTTCTTTCATTCATTCATCTTTGATAAAAATCAGAATGAAAAAAAAACATAAACATAAATAGCATCACAATTGGCAATCTTTGGTGTGGTGAAGAAAAAAAAATTCATCATTACAATGTTCATTATGGTCCAAAGAAAAAAAAACGGGATATTCTTTCTGATAACACCGGGATTTTATTCCAATAAATTAATCGAACAAACATCCTTTTTATCACCGAAATATATGAAAAACAAACTCCAATCAGGAAGATTTTTGATTTGAATCAAAATTTTTTAAAAATGATTTTTTTTGAATTTTTTTAAATTTTTATTCAATCAGTCGGTGGTTATCACTAGATCTTTACCTTTTTATCTTTAAACTTTTTCCGTTGTTGTTATTGCCCTTAACCCTTTTATCGAAAACATTCAACAACAATCAATTCGAAAAAAATCTATGGTAATCATCATGATCGTCGTAATGAAATTTTCATAGTCAAAAGATCTTAAGAAGCCATAATTAAACGAATAGATAAAAAAAGAAAAGAATGAATTGAAGATTGATTGATGCAGGCAGAAGAAAAAAAATCAAAATCTTCTTTGTCTCATCAAGATTAGAAAAGATCAAGTTTGAAAGAAAGAATTCATTCAATCAATGATGATGTTGATGACCAAATAATCTTTTTCGATTCAAATTCATAACGGGAGAAAACAATAGCATGTTTGGTTGTTCAACCAAAAAAAAGGTGGAAAAAATAGACATTTTTTCTTTCGTACCACATAGAGATGCGGAGTAAAAAAAATTGATGAGTGGAAAAATCCAATTCAATTCAGATTCAGATTTGGAGAGAAAGAATGAACATCATCAATTTTAAGATCTTATGCAATCAACCAACCTTACCTATGTTACTTCGATCAAACAACGAAAACAAAACGAATCGAAAAAACCGGTCAATAATAATTATAACGGGAACA